CATAGGAAATATCTGGCCGAGTCATGCAAAGATACAACAACTTCCCAAGCAGTCTCTGAAACACTCCCTTATCAGACAAAGGTTCACCATCTGTGGCAGAAAGTTTATGATTAGGATCAATGGGAGTGGAGACGGGTTTAGCTCCAARTTTACCAGTTTCAGCAAGAAGATCAAGGACATATTTGCGCTGAGATATGAAAATACCCTCCTTAGACCGAGCAACTTCAATGCCCAAGAAATACCGAAGGTCTCCCAAGTCTTTGATTTCAAATTCAGAATTGAAGAACCCTTTTAGTTTCTTAGTCTCTTCACTGTCACTACCCGTGACCACAATATCATCAACATAAACAATCAAGAAGGTCACCAGAGTGTTATTTCTCTTCAGRAACAATGTATGATCAGATTGTGTTTGAGTATATCCAAAGGAGACAAGAGCAGCCTGAAATCTCTCAAACCAAGCCCGAGGAGATTGTTTGAGACCATAAATGGATGTGTAATTTGCACACCTTGCCTTTCATCTCTTTCCCATACACCCCTGGAGGTAGAGACATATAGACTTCTTCATGCAGATCTCCATTCAAGAAAGCATTTTTAACATCAAATTAGTGTAGGGGCCAATCAAATGTAGCCGCTAGAGAAAGCAAAACCCTAACTGAAGTCATCTTAGCTACCGGGGCAAAGGTCTCAAGATAGTCAATGTCGTACATTTGGGTGTAACCCTTGGCAACCAACCAAGCCTTACACCTTTCAACCGAGCCATCAAAGTGATATTTAATGGTAAACACCCATTTACACCCCACTGGTTCCTTCCCTTCCGGCAAGTCCACAATATCCCAGGTATGGTTCTTATGTAATGCTTCAAAGTCTAATTTCATTGCGGCCAACTGCTCAATGGTTGATTTTTCCTCACTCTCCTTCCCCCTTCAAGTACTGTAGCAGCATTAGCAGTCTTGGGTTTTCCCACTTGACTGCCCTTCTTAGGATTGTTCTTGAACCTCTCAGGGAGTAGTCCAGGATGAAGTTTCCAGCAGGTATCCTTGGTATGTCATGGTTTCTTGCAATATTCACACACCTGCTCCCCCTTTTCAGTAGGCCCCTTAGATTTCATTCCCGCATGTGCAAGGTGTTCTATAGGTGGATTCTGTAACTGAACCTGTCGTCTACTATCCTCACTACTTATCATGGCATATGCCTGTGATAGAGTAACCTCATCTCTGGCCAAAATATTCTGTCTGATAATATCAAACTCAGGGTTGAGTCCAGTGAGAAACTCGAACACCCTATTTCTCTCCACCAGTTTTCTGTACATTTCAGCATCCTTTTTACTCTCCCATACCACAGTTTCGATAACATCAATTTCCTGCCATAGGGATTTTAGCATAGAGTAGTAGATTGCTACACTCTTCCCCCCATGTCTCAGGTTCTTCACATCACTTTTCAATTTATATGCTCGGGCAACATTCAATTTCTGTGAATAAGTCTCAGTTACACTGTCCCCATATCTCCTTAGCAGTAGACATCCAGAGATAGTGTTGGCTTATATGAGGTCGCATAGAGTTAACTAACCATCCTATAACGGTATAGTTCTCTTGCATCCATCTCTCAAATTCCAAATCTGTTTCTTCGCGTTTCACCTTACTGCCTATAAGATACCTGAGTTTTCCTCTACTACAAACATAAATTTTTATAGACTGTGCCCAGGCAAGATAGTTCGTCCCATCTAGCTTAATTGTGGTCACACCCATCAAAACGGAATCTACTGAGGCAGGTCCAGAAGCTAGCACCTGCTTGAACTCACTTCCATATGTCTCCATTAATCAAACGAAAATCAAAGAACAACAAATTTTGACTATGTAAACTTACTTGAAGTCAAACCAGAACTTGGGTGCTTGAAAAVCTAGGGTTTTGCTCCGTCCAGCAGATGGACGGGAGAGAGAAGACACTGTCGCACCTACCAGAGTAACCCAAACCCTTCCAAGCCTGAACCGCCCTCCTCTAGCAATCACCAGACACCTTCCAAGCACAGAGCGCCACACCCAAGCTTCACCTTTCCTAGTAACTTGAAAATCTCCAGTCAGCTAGGGTTTTGGGTAGCAGCAAAACAGCGCCACTTCTTGGCAAAATCTGACCAGAACTAAACTCTCCAAACCCTTCTACCAACTAGGCAAGTGATTCTCTATACTATAGAGAACCTATCTCTCCATACACTCTTGATTTTAGAGTGTACAGGAACGAAGAAAATGAAGAAAGAGGAACTGAACCCGCTCTAATACCAAGATGTAAATCAGTCCTCTGATATCAGATTTAAAACTATGAGAAACAGAACAAATAAGAGCTGAATAATGGTGCAAGAGATGTGTATGTCGAATAGAAGAGGTAAGAGAAGAAGGAGTTTAATGATCCACCCTTCTACCCTAACCCTATTTATTAATTTCCAAAAAAAATAATGATGACAAGTATGCCCTTAAGTGGGCGGCCAGCTTGGCAATTACATAAAAAAAATAAAACATGAATAAATAACAGGCCCATTAAGAGAGGCCCATCAACATAAAATAAAAAATAAAAACAAAGATATCACATAAGAGACTGTTAGGGCCCATTCGACCCAGTCTCTTTACAAAGATAGAGGTCTATACAGATCCTGATTGGGCTAGGAGTGCTGATGACAGGAGGTCTACCTCTGGATATTGTGCCTTTGTAGGAGGTAACCTTGTCTCCTGGAGGAGTAAGAAACAAAGTGTTGTTTCTCGTTCTAGTGCTGAAGCTGAATATAGATCAATGACTAATGGTGTGGCTGAAATCCTATGACTGAAGTCATTACTTGAAGAGTTGGGTATTGATTTGAGAAGCCCTTAATGCTATATTGTGATAATCAGGCTACTATTAATATAGCTCACAATCCGGTATAGCATGACAGAACAAAGCATATCGAAGTCGATCGACATTTTGTCAGAGAAAGGGTTTCATCTCAAGAAGTGTGTCTCCCGTATATCACCTCCAGCATGCAGCTCGCAGATCTTCTCACCAAGGCTATTCCAAGGAAGAAATTAGAGGCAGACCTATGCAAGTTGGGAATGACAAATATCTATTCCCAACTTGAGGAGGAGTGTAGAGAACACTGATGTGGACCCCACGGCTGTGGTCCCCACTGTGTTCGTATGGCAGCACAGCATGTAATCTTTGTTAGTTATGTCAGTGTTAGTTGGTAGTTATTTCAGTTTGTTGTTACAGCTTGTTATTTCAGCTTTATTATTAGTTTATTTGCCATGTAAGCAATAAGGGCAATTCAGCCTTTTTACAATTAGTAAACATATAAATATTAAGAGTGGATCGGCAGATCAAAACAATTCGACCCTTTCTCTCTCCTTTTCTAAAACCCTTCGTGTGCATCTGCTTTTCTCCCTTTTTTCTTCTTCTTTTCTCCTTCTGAAATCTTTTCTTTTACTTTCGGATTCAAGACTGATTGTAGTCTTGATCGACTACTATAATTATGGTGAACAATTGTTCTGCCCTACGCTTATCACATACGAAGAGTTCTTTTTACTTAACAAATATCTTAAGTCTTAACACAACAATTGTCCTGCACTACGCTTTTCACATGTGTTATGGAGTGACCATTGACCCCATAGAGTGATTCCAGGTCCCCTTAAGAGCTATTCCTTGGGTTCTCTCCTTTCTATACTCTATTTTTCAAGCTATTAATAACTATTGCAATCATCTACTTCCAACCAAAACTCAATTTTCAGGATGTTATTGGATCTGGATAAGAGACAAGTGTGAAATTTCAGAAATTCTGATAATTCCTTTGATCTTTTTTTTTTTACTTTCTCTCTCTAAAACTCCAGTCATTGTCCTTGGCACTCATACCTGGACCATTCAGACTCCCAGTCTTATTGGACCACCATCTAGATGATCCAATATATAAAGCAACAAACTTTCATACCAGAACTTTCACTGGCACTCATGTTGAGTTCTTGTTTACTGTCAACTGTGAAAGTCCAAATTTTCTAAATTTCTAACCAAATCCCATTATTTTTCAAACCATCCAGATATCCAATTGAATCCTGACTCCTGAATTTGAATCTTCTTAGACCTTTTCTCCTATTGAGTCTTATAATATTTGGTGGAAAAAATAATTAAATAATGACCTATTCTAGGGTATAATATGCAACCCAACTTCAGATTAAGCCAGCTGAAGGAACTCACAATCTCCTTAAAAACATATTCACGAAAAGACAAACCAGTAAGTCATTCAACTCAACCACTTCAACTGTTATCAAAAGGCCAATAAGATACTTGGAACCCAATTGAAGCAATGCATGACTTTTATACTTGAGATCTCCAATTGCCGATCAACCCAGATTGCCTAAAAGAGAATTGTTAAAATCAAGGTTAATAGTGAAGTTGCTTGCCTTGGGAGGTGTGTGTAATAGTGAATCCTTGATGTCTTTGACTGAAATAGTAATATTTGATGCAACAAATCATAAGAGTCCTGAGAACCCACTGCACCAACACTAAATTTTGATGTTTGTTGAGTCCAAAAACAATAAACATGTATACATGCACATGCACATAAACACAGACATGCATATCATGCATATGCACAGAAATCTTTGTTACACTGTTTAAACTCTCAATATGATCTAGGGGGCATACATGATTTGTTATATCCTCATGGAGACTTCTAGCCTTCTGATCAAGCTCCACCTGTCACAGAATGGTATGTTACACTTTATTCCACAAGAAAAAGAAAGAAAAAGGAGTAACAGATTCAATATAACATAGAATTTTTATCTAACAAGTCTATCAAATAAAGGACTGAGTTTTGGGTTAATACATGAACAAACTACATGAATAAGTTTGCATCATAATAATGATTTTCAAGCTATAATAGTAATTGGTTTTGAATCTGTTGACAAGAAGTGCACCATCATCAAGCACATGCCTAATTATCATCATTCATCAGACAACTAACCCGCTTGAAAAGGCATTTAGTGTTCATTTGCTGATTCATTATGTACCCGTAATGGACCCAAGTGCTTCATTATAAGTGTTTGGCTAGAGGTAGTTTGAGATATTAAAAACCCTTGAGGTCAATCTGTTCAATAGGGATGCCAACCATATATACCAAAAGAAACACCAAGTCAGTTCACCGGGTGAATCAAGAGGGAGTAGTCATGAGAACTTGATATAATGATGGCCTTCATAATGACATTCCTAAAGTGCCCAAGCGATTCCCCAGAAATCCTGTTTTCAACCATGAAATAATTTATTTAAATCTACAAACCAATGATTTTCATGATGATATTAAGGTGTTCCATAAAGACTATCTTTCAAATGCCATGCAGAAAGGAACTTATCATATCCATCTCAAAGATGGTCAGCTCTCTAATAGGTATAGGAATAAAAACAACTCTGACGATCGTCATCTTAGAGAGTGGACCATCTTTCAGATGGATGTAGGTGGACTTACCAATGGGGATTAATATGTTATTTGGTCATTCTAGTTTTACTTGGCCCAAAAAGAGGGGAAGAATAATATGGAGATGTGTGAGAGCAGCCTTGGATGGACTATTTGGGAAGAAATGCAAGAATCTTTAGAGAAGGAAAGAAGCAAGGAAGATGTCAGGGATTGTGTGATGGTCAAGGTGCTCCATTGGATCAAAACTCTAGAACTGTTGTCTCAGTTCTCTTTTGATGAAGTCCAAAGAAACTAGGAAGTAGTTGCTCGAAGCTCCTCTAAAAAGGAAAGAATAGATGTTGCATGGCTACCTCCACCTGAAGGCTTTGTAAAGCTGAAATTTGACAAGAGCAATCAAGGTAATCCAAGCTCTTCTGGAATAGGAGCAATCTTGAGAGATATAGAAGGTAAACTCATAGCGCTATTTTCTGGCCTGTGGGTATGGACCATTCTCTCAAATCAAAACTGCTTTCTGTAGTACAAGGAGTGCAGATTGCTAATGAACTGAATATAGCAAATGTAGTGATTGAAGGGGACTCAGATTTGGTGGTGGGATGACTAAAGGGTCCAAAATCCATAATATGGTGCTATTTGAGTGAAATGAAAACAACGTAAATGGCTTACCAGAAAATATGAACTTGAAGATACAGTGGGTGAGGAGATCGTCAAATCGGATGGTGGATGCATTAGCCAAGCAAGGGGTGCATAGGCCTCAATTGTTTTGGGCTCAAAAGTAATTTGATTTTGTTTTATTATAGAGAGGTAGCATCTTTTACCTCTCTAAGAGATGCTTGTAAGGTTTTTATTAACTTAAGTTTTAATAAAATTTGAAAGTTATTTATCAAAAAAGGCTTATGGACAAATAATTTAGAAACAAGAGGTTTTAAAGTAAGTAGGGCTAAGACAGAATATATGGCATGTAAATTTAATAACAATGGAAGTACAAAAGAAAGAAGACGCATTGTGGCGCTATAGCAGTGAGGTGAGGAAATTCATGTGATTGTCAAGAAACATGGAAGTGAGGCCTTATAGATTCTAAGGGAAGCAAACAGTATGGTGGATGCTCTAGCCAAGCAAGGGATTGAAAGGGGACATGTTTTGGGCAAAGTTGTAAGATGTACAAGGGATTCTATAGGGTAGAGATAAGACTCCTTACCTCTTAACACTGTACTTTACATATTAATAATGTTTTCTGTTATTGATCAAAAAACAGTGAAGTGGTAGAACCATTATAGTATGCATCTTATAATATAGTAACATCCTGAATTTGTAAAGGAGGGAAACCATCCAAATCATCCTCATTTTGCAAAGACTCGAAAACCAAAGAGAAGCACAGAATACTTACAACAGTAGGCTTTTTGATGAAGCCATTTTTCACTCTCTGACGCAAATCCTCACATTCTTCCTGCAACCAAGAAAACTTAATTAAGATGGTAATTCTCTATAACGGGTAGTGAAGTTTGAGTTATCAGCAGATTCTCAATAAACATTGTACCAGGATTGCATTGCAAGTAATAAGGCACGTAATAGAAGTCAGAACTGATTCCATCCAAAAACTCCCTAAAGGATCATAAGGTAAGGCTTCAAGTTGACCAACTTCAGCTAACTCAAGCACAGGCTAGCATTAAAACAATAACTATTTATGTGAAACCCATCCAGCACATGATAAGCCATTAAATCAACAACCTTTTTCGTTTAAAATTTGTAAACTTCCATAAACAGTAATAAAAAGGGAGAAAAGAGAGATAAAGTGAGAATGAAGAATTTGTCGACCCTTAAATTTTGGTCAATAACATAAAGTGAAATTACAAGATTTCCCTTACTTAAGCCACACCAAGAGAAAGAATAAACAGCATAATAAAAAATAACAAGAAGACAACTATACCTCTGCCAACTAGACTTTGGCACTCCCCCTCAAGCTGGAGCAAAATTATCACAGAGCTCCAGCTTGTTACAAATATAATCGATTCTAGTTCGACTCAAGCTCTTAGTGAAGAGATTCACTACTTAGTCTTCTTACTTGAAATATGGTGTAACTATATCGTCAATTGCCACCTTCTCCCTCACAAAATGGCAATCAACTTCTATATGCTTAGTCCTTCATGGAAAACAGGATTGAAGGAAATATGTTTTGCAACTTGACTACACAAAATAGCTTTATAGGTTTAATTACAGGAATGCCTATCTCCTGAAGGAGATGTTTTAGCAAAATCAACTCACAAGTAGTGTGGGCAATTGCTCTATACTTGGCATCAGCACTACTTCTAGCAATCACATTTTATTCTTCCAAATGATAAGATTTCCACAAAGAAAAGTACAATAACCTGTAGTAGATTTCCTATCCATAGAGGATCCTTCCCAATCTTCATCTAAGTATAGTTCCAATAATAACTCTCCCCCTTTATTATATAACAACCCACAACCTAGGGCACCCTTAAGGTACCTTAAAACTCTCATAACACTTTCCCAATGAACAGTTCTAGGATTCTGCATAAACTGACTCACAACCCACACTGAATGGGATGTCAAGCTTGCTAATGGTAAGATAAATTAGTTTCCCACTTTGATCAAGCCACTTCAATCCCTATGAAATATTTCAAGTATCATAGGTCTTTGGTTTGGAAATGTTGTTGCAAAAGCTACTTCGGTTCACTCATTCCCTCCACATCACTACCAATGAGAGCAATATCATCAACATAAACTACCAAAAGAATCTTCCCACATCAATACTACATTGTTTCAGCCCAAACTCCTACACCACACTACTAAACCAGCCAAACCAAGCCCACAATGACTATTTTAGCCCATAGATAGCCTTCCTCAATTTACACACTTTTCCTACCTCCCCCTGAGTAGAATACCTAGGAGGCTGTTCCATATACACCTCCTCAAGAGCACCATGGAAGAAGTAGAAAAGTTTTGATATAAAATCTGTAAAAAAAAGAAGAGAATAAAAGGTTTCCACTAGAAAGAAAGAGAAGAGAGATAGAAGAGAATGGAGAAGCCAAAAAACTTATCTAGCCACCACTTTCATTAGATTATATACTCATAAATAAAGAGTGTACAAGTACAAGAATGCCCTTAGTAAGTCGGCTAGTTGTAAGAAGCTGAAAAGTCACACTTAACTTAAACATAAACTAATGGGCCTAAGGCCCAACAACTACCTAACTAAGTTATGTAAATAAAAACAAATCGGCCCACAACTCAACACTCCCCCTCAAGTTGGGAATAAGTGTTACACATTCCCAACTTGCGTAGATCATGCTCTAGCTTGTTTCTTGCAACACCTTTTGTAAGAACATCAACAACCTGCAAGTCAGATGCAACATATGGCAAGAAAACTTCTCCAGAGGTCACCCTTTCCCTTATAAAATGTTTGTTCACTTCAATGTTCTTCGTCCTATCATGATGAACTGGGTTGTGGGCAATGTTAATTGCTGCTTGATTGTCACAGTATAGCATCACAAGTTCTTCTACCTCAACCCTAATCTCCCTTAACAAGGAATGAATGCAGAGGAGCTCTGAAACACCATGTGCCATGGCTCTGCATTTAACTTCTACATTTAACCTTGCCACAACTATTTGTTTCTTACTCTTCCATGAAACTAGATTACCTCCAACAAGAGTGCAAACTCCTGATATAGATCTCTTGTCATCTAGACATCATGCCCAATCAGCATCTGTGTAAGCCTCTAACTTCAACTGTCCATGATTAGCAAACAATATGCCCCTACTTAGGTGTCCCTTCAAATAGGAAAGTATCCTGTCAATAGCCTTCCAATATTGAACTCGTGGGGCATGCATATATTGACTCACCACACTAACTGCATAAGAGATTTTGGTCATGTCATACATAAGTATAGCAACCGCCACACTAATCTATAATACCTCCCAACATCCTTCACTAGTTCACCTTTTGAAGCATTTATCCCGTGCTTCTAATCAATAGGTGTATCAGCTGCCTTCGCCCCAAGTTTCACTCTCCTATAGCAGATCCAAAACATACTTTCTCTGTAAGAAGAAGATCCCATGCTTGGACCTTGCCACCTCAATGCCCAGAAACAACTGCTTTGATGGATTATTCCATGCTCCAATAGTTATAATGCTGGAATAAAGCATTAAGGGTCCGACTGAGAAGAAAGAGGTGATATGTGAATACTGCAAGAAACCGAGGCATACCGAGGATACTTGTTGGAAGCTCCATCTAGATTTTCTACCGGACAAGTTTAAGAATAATAGTAATTTTAAGACTAGTCAAATAGGAAAGCCTAAGTTTGCTAATGTTGCCACAGTGCCCGAATGAGGGAACAGGGAGAGTGAAGAAAAGTCAACCATGGAACAATTGGCAGCAATGAAGGCAGAATTTAATAAGTAATGCTAGGTTGTTAAATCACTTGAAAGCCACTGACTCTACATCCCACTCTTTAGGTAACACATCATCATCATCCGCATTTGCTCACTCAAGTATTCGTGCTTCTATAAACAATGCTTTTGCTTCAGGTAATCATAAAATCCCTTGGATCATTGATTCCGGTGCATCAGACCATATGATCAGCTTGTCTAACCTTTTTTGTTCGTATCATCTCCTCTCTGGTAAAGAGAAAATATCTATTGCTGATGGGTCTCTTGCTCCCATCTCTGGCAAGAGGGATATCAAGACCTTTGACACCCGTGTTTTATCCTTTGTCCTTCATGTCCCCAAACTTAATACCAATAATTTATCTACTAACAGTTTAACTAAATCCACGAACTATAGCATAACCTTCTTTCCTACCCATTGTGTTTTTCAGGACCTAAAATCTCAAAGGAAGATTAGGAGTGGCCATCAGGCGAATGGACTATACTTGTTGGACAAACCTGCTAGGAGTCTTCAACCACCTCATGGAGTAGCCTTGGAGTCCGCTTTGTCAGAGTCTATTGATAGAGTCACGTTATGTCATTTCCGGTTTGGTCATTTGCCTTTTTCTGCTTTGAGTAATTTGTTTCCCAATATGTTTGAGTGTCTTTATCGAGTCTTCATTGTGAGTCTTGCGAACTTGCAAATCATTGTAGACAGTCTTATTCAGTAAACAATAAAAGATCCATTTCTCCCAGTGTTTTAAAAGCGCAAGGCGCAGGGCTCAATTTGCGCCTGAGGCGCAAGGCGCAAGGCAAGGCACAAAATTATAAAAAAAAATGCTAAAAACTCAAAAAAAAAGTCAAAAAATTCAAAAAAAATAACAAAATACTAAACATAATATTAATAAAAAATATAAACTTAAATTTTAAAATAATGTTTTAAAAAACCTATTATCTAAAATTAAAATACATAAACATAAGATGTAATTATGTAAAGCATACTCAAATGAGAATTTAAAAATAAAACCGAACATATAAAACATTTTCAAGCATTTAAAACCTCTAATCTCTTTTTTTCATTCAATTGCATTACTTCATGTAGCTAATGTAATGTAAAACATATTAAAATCCTGATTCTACAAGCTTAAACAAGTCCACGTTAGGTCATAAATTCTTAGTTTTCACACAAAAAATAATGATTTTATAGTTTTACTTGCTTTTTAAGAAGACATTTATAGTTTTACTAGGCGTCGCCTTGGCACCTGGGCGCCCCATGGTCACCTAGCCTCGCCTAGTCGCCTTGACAACTATGGATAATGCCAAGGAATATTTTGAGAAGAACCTCTTATCCTACTTTGAGACTTTTGGGGTTATTCATCAGAGTACTTGTTCTTACACTCCACAACAAAATGGAGTGGCAAAAAGGAAGAAATCCCATGTGGTCAAGGTTGCTAGATCCCTCCTTTTTGCATCTCATGTTCCTATTAAATTTGGGGGAGATGTTGTTCTTACTGCTACCTTTTTGATTAATAGTATGTCTTCCCAGGTTCTGGATTTCAAAACCCCATTTAGCCTTCTCTTTCTGAATGAAAATCTCTTCTCTCTTCCTCTCCGAGTTTTTGGATGCACCTGCTATGTACATGTTCATAGCCATCAAAGACACAAATTTGAACCTAAGGCGCGTAAGTGTATTTTTCTAGCATATGCCTCCACAAAGAAGGGATATTGTTATTTTGATCTGGTTAGTGGCACCCGCTTTGTCTCTCAGAATGTCACATTTGCTGAGTTTATTCCTTTCTTTAGTATTTCTCCTAAGAGAGCAATCTGAGGAGCCCTTTGCTATGTCTCCAGTTGTTCCTTTTCTAGTTCCTTTTGAGTCCTCTGTTGAGTTATCCTTTCCCCCCACTGTCTACCTCAAGTGTTCTTGCTTCCCCTCCTCTACCTCATCCTCTTATAATTCCCTCACATCCTATCCTCCAAAGTGTTCTTCCAAAAGATGATGATTTTTTCTCTCAGCCACCCCATTTTGTTGTGGGGTGTAGGTACATGAAGTATGAGGGATAATGC